ATGTCCGATAGGTTACGCCATGTCCGATAGGTTACGCCATGTCCGATAGGTTACGCCATGTCCGATAGGTTACGCCATGTCCGATAGGTTACGCCATGTCCGATAGTCTTCAGTCGGCGCTACTTATTGCACAACATTATAGTAAACACTTCATTGAATAAGTGAAAACACTTTTTACTTTAAAGTAAACTTTATTTGCATTAAAAACTTATTGAGTTTTACATTATTTTCGATGTGATATATATACTAATTTTAGGATAATTTGGGCGGTTACAAAAAAGCATTATAATAGTTATAAAATTTTTAGACCAAATAATTTTCTTGATAAATACAATTTTGACAGTAACTATAATTTTCTGACATACAATGAAGGACATTTTTTTACATTAGTTATAATTGTTATCAAAATGTATAACATTTTCATGGTTTACTTTTTCAACTAAACTTTAAACGTGTACCGTAAATTTTGTCTTATAAATTATAACTGTAAATGTAAATTATAACTGTAAATGTAAATTATAACTGTAAATGTAAATTAGAAATTGTAAAATATTTTTTGTCTATTAATCAAAAACAGTAAATATTAGTATAAACTTATTTGTCATTTAGAAATGTCATTCAATTTATTTATTAAATAATTTTAAACCTCTACTGTATTTGTGAACAAACTTTCTGCCTATTTATCAAAATTACTTGAAATTTACTGTCAATACTTGATGTGTATTTAATTAATGTATTTTAGTTATTTTTCAATTTATCTGCTTATTGTTAGTAAAACTTTAAATTTTGGTTTCAAATTACATGATAAAATCAAAATAAGTACATTAGTACTAATAGAGTAAATTTACACATAATTATGTATTCAGTAATCAGTTTTTAGTATTTACTAAAAGACCTATATTTTACGGCATATTTATAATTTTAGTTTAAGGCCTAAAAACTTAATTCTGTAATGTATTCTAATTAACAGTTTTTATGTGTATTGTTTTGTGATGTACTGTCGGCCTATTACCAGGTAAATTGTGTCCAGGTATGTCTTACCTCATATCAATATAAATTGTTTATCACGTTTAAATTTTAATAAATTGTGGCCATATGTTGGACATACACATAAATTTTATATCAAATATTAAATATTTCAAATGAATTTATATCAACAAGGAGAATTTTCAAATAACATGTTTTAGCTAATGTTAATAATGTGCATTAATTTAATTAAATTATAATTTTTAGTAAAAGTTTTATTTAACTTTAACCTTAAATTAATATAAGCCTTAAATGTGTTTATAACGAAGCAATTGTTGCAAATAATTTACAGCTATTTTCTCAATACATAATTAATTTACAAAAATACTTTCTGTGTACAAACAGTGTAGCACTGGTGGCTCTCCCATCGCAACGTAAACACCTACTCGCTGATGGCGGCCGACCCGGTGGCCCGGACTCTGTTGTCGCTGTTGCCGGTGGAAAGTGTACACATGTGGGACATGCAGCTGCACCCAATTGTTATCATGCCGCTGGCGCGCTGTCACATCAGTAACCTATTCTACTTGGAACCGGTGGGCAACGCCGAGATCGGGCCGGCGGTCACGTCACCAATTGGGCCATCAGATGTTACTGGTGGCGCCGGGCGCGGCACCAGTACGGCTGTCACGTGTACGTCAACCGATACGGCTCCATAGCCTATCACAGTATAAACGTGAACGGCGCGGACGTCGATGAGTACAACGCCAAACAGTACCACATCTGTCAGCTCTACCCCAGTGTACGCTTTGAGAACCATTGGGTGAACCGATCGGTGTCGGTGCGCGACACTGACCAAAACTACATAGACACATTATACGCTGACATAATTTACAAAACTTAAATATAAGTAATTTAAATACATAAATAATAAATTGTATATGTTATTATTTTTATTTATATTTTTACGTGTACTTTTAAATACAGTTTGTAACTCTCTCTATGGCATAGGAATAACACGGGTAATGCTAAGTGTATGGCATAGGGATAACATGGGTAATGCTAAGTCTATGGCATAGGAATAACACGGGTAATGCTAAGTCTATGGCATATGAATGACATGGGTAATGCAAAGTTTATGGCAATGTTAAGTCTATCAACAATGCTAAGTCTATGGCATAAGGATAACATGGGTTATGCTAAATCTATAGACAGTGTTAGTCTATGGGCAATGCTAAGGCTATGGTCTTCATGGAAACTAATGCTAATCTTATGGANTCTCTCTCTCTCTCTCTCTCTACTATAAAAAACTAATTATGCAATAACAAAATTAACCATATTTAATAAAGTAAAATAGATTTGTTAAGATTAAATTTATTAACAATGTCAAATATAAATAAAATAAAACATTGTTTAAAATGTATAACCAGAGTACATTGTTTCCATAAAATGAGGCATTTGTTTATTTTGTTCATTCACTCTACGCTCAAATTTGTGCACTTTTACAAATACAAACACAAATGCGATTATCTTGAGCAAAACGCAAACACCGCACAAACGTATAATATTTGGCCAAAATTGACCATCGTCAATGCCCAGTTCGTACAGTACAGTGGATAGCTGGTCGCCAGGGCAACGGCCCAAACCGTAAATTATGATCATAATACATTCAAACGACAGGCGACTATAAGACAGTTGGCTGAGCGCCTGTAGCGTGTAATGAAGCTCTTTGACCGGGATCAGATTGTTGCCCAACATCAACACAACCGACTGTGCCATTAGGGCTAATACTAGAGCCAGAGTGGGCTCGTCGATGTACAGTATGGCCGAAATCTGGGCCACGCTTTGCGTACACCAAATGACCAACAAATTGAGTACAAACGTTAACCAATAGTAAGCGTACGTATTGTACAGGTTTGCGATCCAACAGAACAGCGGCAACGATAGTAACACTGGTATCGTATCGACAATCGTACGGCACCATAGATAAGCACCGGTGCTATACCAGCCTTTTGTATTAAAATAAGCAATCAATAAGTCTACACATGGTAATCTAGAAATTTAATTTTACCATTTTGCTGTTCGCTTCGAAACAGGCAAAAGTCCTGACCAAAAGTGGCCGACATTATAATCAGCACCACTAACGCCACCGATAGCAACAGCAGTATATTGTATTTAATATTGTGCTTGATCAATATCTCGTCTCGGAGCGCGGCATCGCTCTGAGTACAGTCGGCCCCAAAGTCAATGTCAAGGCACCCGTCGGGCACTATTATATCGGGGCTCATAATGTATCGCATGGTTGCGGCGATCGTCACCATTGTTACCATCTGTACTAATACAGACGCCCGCCGGCACCGGAATGTATGGGTCAGCGAACGGCACATCAGGTAATAAATATCGTTAAAACTGAATCGCTTTGATGTACTTAATGAGCCAAACACTGGCCGCAGGTTGGCCAATACTATTGGCACATTATTTATGCCATGGTTATTATTAAGTGTGGCGTCGATTGTGTCACACATTTCTATACCATTTAATTTTGATGCAATTTTTAGCAACACTTCAATCGGCACTTGATTTTCATGGCATTCAATGCCATTGTCTGTGAGATGTTGTCTCAAGTGTTGGGGAACTCCTGAATACAGACAAACCCCTCCGTTGGCCAACACATAGATGTTGTCAAACATATTGAATATATCGTTGTTTGGCTGATGTATGGACGCAATGATTGTCATCCCATTTTTTCGGGTCAATACTTTTAAAGTGTTTATTACCTGAAAAATAAATAAACTTTTTAAATTACAATTACCATCAAAAATCTATTTTGCCGACTGACCATTTCGGCGGCATTGCTATCCAAACCACTCGTCGGTTCGTCAATACATAACATATTAGGCTTTATATGAGAAGTTAATTCGCAGCCAATTATAATGCGTTTCTGTTCGCCTCCACTACACGTTTCTACCTTAATGTCTGCCGTATCGCCGATCGCCAGCTCTGACATCAAATCCGTCACAATTTTATTGTGATTTAATTCAATAGAAATGCTTGAGTTTTTGAGTCTCGACGCGTATAACAGTGTCTGTCGTACAGTCAGTCCCGGCAATAGGTGTTCCCACACATCCGACTTAACGAAAGCAGACCTTACTCTACGGTTATTAATGGCATAAATCTTGGTATTTATACTCAAACTTAGACTATTCTGGCCGTTCAGACACTTAAATAGTGTTGTCTTTCCCGCACCCGACGGTCCCATCAATGCGTTTAACGAATTTATTGTCACAGAGCCGCTAATATTATCTAGGATAATTTTTGTGCTAGCCTTAAATAATGTATGGTTAGCGATAAACGTTAGATTAATCCATGCCATAAATATTTGATCGTCATGGTATTCACAAATATTATTATCGTTTAAATCATTTATCGGTTTTAATTCATACGATTTCGAGTTATGTATATTTAATTCGTTGTTTTGTTTGAGAAATAAATTTACCAATTTATTAATCACTTGGAAGTGATTTGTTTTTATAATGAATGATATGTACTGACAAATTACTAGGCTAATATAATAATATATATACCATTTGGCATAGGTATCGAATAACTGTTCTGGCTCAAAATCGAGACCAAACTCAATAAGCACCTTGTTTTTATAACCACTCGCACATCTATTATAGCCAAATATTAATATAAGCATTGAGTTATAAAAATACATATAGTAATTAAAATTGGTCATTAGTTGAATTATATTCAACATATCTTTGATAGGTACTAGGTAATTATTCCATGAACACAATATTAATGATACAGATATCGATGCAAAAAGTGCTAGATTTTCATTGTCATGGAATAGTATACCCAATATTGATGCTAACGCTTGTGTGGACAACAGTGTCATTATAGTAACGTATAGTAATTTGTATATGAGGTGCGATTTATTCAGGATAACGATATAATATTGCAGAATAAATGCATAAATCAACGCGTTTACTATAATTAGCAGTGAATCGCAAATAAATTTAGCCCAAAAACATAGGTGAGAATTGTACCAATCTATGATTTATAATAAAATACAATGTGCATAAGTATATTAAAAACATACGTTTAAGGTATAATTGTACTGTATTTAGTTTAACTAGATTTTAAAATATTTAATAGTAATTAAATTTTAAGCTTTACTATTATTATTTTCGGATAATATTATTTTCATATCAGCGCCAAAACTATTACAAATGCTTATGATTTGTACCCATAGAACCAGTAGCGATGATACATGCAAGAATGTTTGAGCTTGGTGCAATACGCTTTTATCATACTCAATTTCAATACAAGTGAGATTTGTTTGGCCGTCATTACGTACGCAACCGTCCACTCGACCGATGTTTTCATTAAAACAATTAACGATATATATATTGATACAAGCGAATAATAATAGTTGCTTTAAAATACCATGGTAATTATTAACATAATTTCTGTGCATAAATCTAGTCAACAAATACCCAAAATCGACAATTTTAAATCGTTTGTCAATAAATTTAAAACCGTCACTGATTTGTACTGTGTTTTGCGTATTGACAGTCAATTCACGTGTTTTATCGCAAAGTGTTTCCACGTTTGTATCCATCAGTCCATTGAAACTTAATTTAATCAACACTTCGATCGGCACTTGATTTTCATGGCATTCAATGCCATTGTCTGTGAGATGTTGTCTCAAGTGTTGGGGAACTCCTGAATACAGACAAACCCCTCCGTTGGCCAACACATAGATGTTGTCAAACATATTGA